TCTACAGAATTTAAGGAATCTTTAACAGAGAATTCTTTTTAGTTGTAGTTTTGAGATTAATAGTGTCTTTGCTTGACTGACTTAGAAATGGATCTGATAAATTATGTTGCTACTAAAACAGCCTGATGTTTGATCTTCCTCTAGTTGATTGTTTGCACCCAAATAAGAAAACCTAGCAACAACAGCAGTGTGTTCTCAGGCCTTTTCGTAGAATCTCTAACAAACTATGGGCAATTAGAAACAGGCAAAACAGGCCCTTGTTGCTGGTCTAAAAGGCACAGTTGAGTGGAGAAGCTGTTGATCTCAACTGTTAGACCTCAGCCATTGTTCTCAATCTGGCATAGAGTTAATCCCTTAAGAAAGGGATGAAAAAAATGCCATTCAGCACAACATAGTTTGTCATCGCATGCATAATGCAGACTTTCCAATTAGAATGCTACAATTTGGAAACTTTCTTCACAGACTGATGAGAGAGCAATTATTTTAAGAAGGGAAAACTCAGTCCACTGGGTTTGCCTCGAGTCACTTCTGACTCAAGCGGCAGAGACAAGAGTTTTGAAATCATATTTGCTATTGAATTTTGTATCAAAACCCCAGCAAGGAGAGCAATTAGTTGCTGTAAACTGAACCCCTGGTAATCAATGGTAGGCAGCCAGCCAGAGCATTTATGGAAGATGTAAGCAAAATCCCATCTGCTAATCAATTTTAAAAAACCCAGCACTTCACTGCTTTTAGGGAATCTCCACAGTAAAAATAAGGGAAGATGAAGGAGACACCATTAAATATCACCAGGCATTTCATGCAGTACTTATTAGAGAGATTTGTGACAACAGCTAAATACAGACCAGCCTACACCCGCTCTCGGCCAGTGGCTTCCTTTATTCAACCCCTCTGGAAATGGCTCTGCTGAACGCGTGCAGGGGTGCGGAGGGGGAGGGGTGTGTTTAAGGAGCTGTCTCAGTTAAGGTCATGAGTCGTGTCTGTCCTCCGCGAGCTCACTGTGCAAACATTCCCAGTCAGATTACAAGTCAGAAATGTCCCTATGCTGCTGCAAGCACAAGGACGTGAGAACAGACTTCGCAGGCAGGGAAAGAAGTGAAGGGAGCTGGGCTTTTCTCTTGTGCCTTCTTAGAACCAAATTCCTCTCCATGGAAAAAAGGAGATTGAGTTAATTTTTCCTTTATTGCCCTTAACTGAAATGCACTTACTTTTTCAATTGAACCAACAAAAGAATTCTCATTTCTGGTGAAACCTAACTTCTGTGCGAATAAGCATCCTGGCACATAAATTGGAATCCCTCTTAAAACTCCAGTGTGAGTCAGCCCTAGCTTGATAATGTGAGGCACATCAGTGTCCCTTTTCCACTCAGGAGGCAGGTGACCCCACATCCCCAGCCCCCAGGGGCTTCTAATAGAGGGATAGAGAGGAAACATCTCAGCCAGTGTGTGCACTTGGCTGCTGTTCAGAAAAAAAATAATAATAATTTAGGCCAGGAGAAATTATTGAGGTAGAGATCGATAGACTAGGCTAATAAAAATTAATATCTGCAGCATGTAGGCTGTGATAGGCAGTAGGTTAATATCCTTCAGATACAGAGGGCATTTTGTGTGTCATTAACAAATGGATAAATATAGCTAGCAAATAGGTAAGATGTTTAAGTTTGCTGATAATAACCTGCAAATTAATGAAATACATGTCATCTATTAAATTAGCAATCTTGGTACCTTTTTTTTCCTCCCTTCTCCCCGTCCTTGCCTCTCCCCTTTTTTCCAGTGCTGGGGACCAAAACCAGTGCTTTCTATACCTGCATCCCCAGCCCTTTTTTTAAGGCTTTATCCTGAGATAGGGTCTCAACTTGTGGTTCTCCTGCCGCAGCCTCTTGAGTGACTGGAATTCAAGACTTGTGCCGCCTCCCCAGGCCCCAAATATTTAAAGATAATAGATAACATTAGTGACAGTGCACACAAACAGGCATTTATTTGTTACTGTTGGTAATGTGATACAACTTGTTACAATCTTTTATGGAAGGATGGGGAGAAGAGAGAAACAGCTATTTTACCAAATCCTCAAAATATTTGCATGCCCTGCTACAGGAGCTTTACTTAGACTTTCAAAGATAATAATCACAGGTCTAGCTAAAATGTTCATCAAAAGTTTCACTAAATATTCTCAGTGCCCAGTGATGAGGCTGATTTAGTAAACTAAATACAGGGAAGTACTGTGAAGTCAGTAGAGCCAATGTAGAAGAACATTTGATTGCACAAGAAGATCTTCATAGTAGATCATTAAGCAAAGTAAGCAAGTTACAGTAGGCATTGTATGCATGGATTTACAGCAATACCGGAATTACGGGTGATCATAATTATTTTAACTAATGATTTCCTTCAATTGAGGAACTTTATAGAGTAAGCTACTTAGAGAATGTGTGAGACACTAATCTGCAGACACTTGGACTATGCTGTCCCTCTCAGGAATTTCTATTAGACAATTTAGGATGCTCATAAGCGAGCGCCCTTGTTAATCTGCCCTGTATATCGTGTCTTCAGAGTGGTTGTTTTCTATGAAATATTTTGAGATCTGGCTAAGGCTGATCTCAAAAAGGACTGATTGTTTTCATTTTTATACTTTCTAGAAACACAAATTCATTATTATCTGGAAAGACAGGAATTTGACAGCTGTGACTCTTAATGAATATTCCAGACTCTAAGTGGGGAATGGTCTCAACAGCATATTCCAGCAAACCTGTTACCAGAGATAGTAAATAAAGACAAAAATTAATTAATTTAAAATCTTTTCCTAGTTTTGGTCGCAAACATATAATACTGTAGAGCCAGCAGAACTGCATTTGAGAAAAGAACTAAGGGGCACGAGGAGCACAGGGGCAGTGCTAATCCTCAGCAGCAGTTTAGTGACCCAGATTGAACTTGTGCCCAGGGTCTGCAGCGATTATAGTTTTAAGATTACGAGAGGTAACACAAACGGCTTTCATAGAGTGATAGGTTACAGGTTGAAAATTATGACCTAGGTACGTAAACGTGGAGTAAAGGAAACGCTTACCAGTAGGGTTACTGAGTAATTGGGTTTGGGGTCAGGATGCAAGGTTATAATCCTGTATCACTCACTCACCGAGTTAACCTTGGTCACCATTTATAATTTGGTGGGGATAAATAGGACTCGCTCATAGGACATTTAGATGGACATAGGGCCTGACACACAGCATTAAAGAAGTGCAGGGCTGGGCTGGGGAGATGGCTCAGTGGAATACGTGCTTGCCCGGCAAGTGCAAGGTCCTGAGTTTGATCCCTGGTGCCACCAAAAATAAAAAAAAGAAGAAATAGTAGTACAGGGTTTAAGGGTCATTATTACAGTCCATACAAAGAATGTATTTGTCCAGCAGACATTTATTGAGTGTAAGCTCTGTGTGAACGCTGTGACAGGTCCTGAGTATGGAGAGGTCAGTTTGGCATGACCTGGAGAAGGCTCATAGTTCTGCCTGATGGAGAAAGCAAGCCCATGTGACTGAAATAATGAGACACTGCACATATCTTATGCAGAAATCATAGCAAAAACCAATATCTCCTCTGTGGCACTTTATGAAGCAAAATGCAGATCCTGTATTGCAATACACAGGTTATTTTTTTAAATTATTTTTAAATGAGTGCACAAATCACTGAGAGTGCACAAATCTTTTATGTATAACTTGGTGAATATGTCCATGTAACTACCACTTAGTATGAAAATTAGCACAGTTTTGACATTGTAGGATTTTCCTTCATACTGTTTCCAAATCAGTACCTTCCCCAGAGGTAACTGCTATTCTAAACCCAATAGATAAGTTTTGTCTTTGGGCTTCATGTAAATGAAATCACATCAGCAATGCTTAACTTCTTACTGGACAGAAAAGGGGAATAAGAAGAGGATCAAGATATTAATTCCTAAATAATTTAATAAGAAAGTTTTACTAAATATGTGGCCTCTGTGTGTGCCACAGAGGAGATAGGATCTGTGAATCCTATCTAATCAAAACTTTTTTTAAATGTTTTTCTGTACTAAATATATATAGACTATTTAACTATATAGCTATTCATATGGCCTTTACTTTGTATTATATAATCTGCATAGCCCACATGATGAAGTATACAGGAGGATGTGCATAGGGTAATACAAGCACTGTATCATTTTCTATAAGGGACATGAGCAGCTGCAGGTTTTGAGGGGTCCTGAAACTATTTCTATGGATGCTAAAGGTTGACTATATCTCCAAATTGGATAATTTTTGCCAAAGCCATGCAAAAATTATAATGAGAAAAAGCCTCAAACATGACGGATAAAGGTCATACTTATTATTACCAGTTAGAAAGCACAGGTTCCTCCATCAGAAGTAGTCACCAGGATGTTATTTTTGTTCAGCCCTGACAACTACAGACGAGAACTGGGGAAATCAGGAGAGAACAGGACAGTAGTTCCCTCCTGATCCATTCTCTAGAACTTGGCCACCAGGGGGTCAGAGGTTGCTGACATTGAGTGACTGGTGAAATAATCTAAAGAGATGAGTTGGACCAGTGAGATAGCTCAGCAGACTAAGCACCTGCTTAGGCAAGCACAGGGCCCAGGGCTTGATCCCCGGCACCACATGCCACACTGGATCCACCCCCAGGTGCACTGAGCCGGCCCCTGAGTCCAGGTGTGATGGCCTGTAATCCCAGCACAGGGGTGGCTGAAAACAGGAGGATCACCACAAGTCTAAGCTGCATAGTGAGACCCTGTACCAAAAATATAAATTAAAATAACAACAACAATAATAATGATAAAGAGATGAGTTGCAGGTTGAGTCAAGTTCTCTTTTGTTGGGATTTGCATTCTTTCCTTAGTCCTGGAAGTGTGCTAGGGCAAAACAGGCAGGTGGACAGGGTGAGCTAGACATAGACACCCCCAACTTTGTGCTGTAGCCCTGTGCCAGTTGGAACATTCACAGAAATCATGTTTTTCTCTCTGCTCAGGTTACTACTTTGGGACTGTGATGATCGAAGCTACAGCTATTATGTTGAGGTTTCCACCAACCAGCAGCAGTGGACCATGGTGGCTGACAGAACAAAAGTGTCCTGCAAGTAAGTCGCTCCCTTCAGGGCTTTATTCTGATGGCAGAGGCAGTCTTTGGGTGGATTCAGAGGTTCCAAACATGAAGGTTCATGGAAACACCAGATTACACCTTTATCTAGTAGAAAACATATTCCAGGGCTCCTTGAGTTTTAATTATTAAGTACTTCTATGAGCATTTACTTGATGGGACCAAATAATCTTTATCTTATGACTTAAACTTGATTTACACCTTTGAAAATGACAGATGTATCTGAACAGAGAAAAGAAAGATAGTTTATGTAGTTCTTTTTCCAGCCCTCCCCACGTCATGCACTGCCTCTGAGGAAATTGTTCTTTCTTTAGAGAGTTCTATTGAAGTGATGGACCGAGGCTCCACCTTATATCCACCCTCATGCCATTCGTAGGGTTAGCTAAAAATTTATCTTATCCCCATTTTAGCTATACACTTAACTAAAGTAAGGAAGACCTTGGGCCTTAGGTTCTTCTTAGGCAGACAGATGTTTGATGCATCTGGCACTGGAGATCAGTTTGACTGTAGGAACAGCTGGGAGGAAAGGTTTTATGGATCCTGACCAGCCTAGAGTTATGGTTCTAGAAAAGAACTGAGTGGGTCTCTGTGTAAAGATACTTAGGTATGACAGAGCTAATAGGTGAAGTTTCTTTTTATTTTGGAAATTGAGTTATGATTCTTCGTTAGATTTCCATCACCATGGCAAAATACCTGAGGAAATCCACTTAAAAAAAGAGCAGAGGTTTGTTTTGGCTCACAGTTTCAGATGCTTCTGTCCATGGTCTCTTGGCCTTGTTGCTTTGGGCGTGTAGTGACGATCCATTGTGGGAGGAGCGTGTGGCAGAGGGGGGCTGTTCACCTGCAGGCCACTGGAAAGCAGGGAGAAACAGGAAGGAGCTGGGGCCCAGTGTGCCCTTCAAAGGCATCCTCAGGCCCTGACTTACTCCGTGAAGCCTACTTCCTACAAGGTCCATCATTACCCAGTACACTGTGGTCTGGCCTAGCACCTAGCCTTCATTCAACACAGGGCCTCTGGCTGGGGGGTGTGATGGATTCATAGAGCATAAATCCATCCTCACAAAGTGTACAGTATAACAGTTTTTAGCACAGTCAGAGTTGTATAACTAATGTTCCAGAATACTTTCCTCACCCCGAAAAGATATCTTCTCTATCCTCCAGCTTCCTCAGTTCCCACCTTCAGTTATCAGCTGCTCATTATATGGAATCTATTGCGCCCTTTCATTCCTAGCTTCTTCCATCTGGAAAAATTTTTCCAGGCTCCTCATCAGAATTTCATTCCTTTTTATGACAGAATAATATTCTATGGAATGGCCACTTTTTAATCCATTTGTCAGTTGATAAACATTTGAATTGTTTCCACTTTCTGAATATTATAAATAACATTGTTATGGACACTGCAGACATGTGTCTGAGCATACTTTTCCAGCTCTCTTGGGTGTATGCATTGTACTAGGATTTCTGAGTCATTTGTATCTGTGTTTCTGAAGCATTATCAGATTTTGCCTTCCCGCCTGTGACCTGTGAGGAGTCCAATTTTTCACATTCTCTCGCCACTTGTCACTGCCTATGTTTTTCATTGTAGCCATCCTAGTGAGCGTGAAGTGCATATCGTTGTGGATTTGATCTGCATTTTCCTGATGGCTATGATGTTGAACATCTTTTCATGTGCTTAGCTTACCAAGAATTCTTAATGACATTGATGGCTTGCTGGACAGTGTTTGACACCATCACCACTACTATAGCAATTTCAAATAGCATGTTTGTATTGATTGAGGGAGCACCAGCTAGTGTCACAAGCTTCAGTATTTCAGTGGCTTAGCATGAGTGCATTTCTCCCTTGCATAACAGCTTGGGTGTCCTGTTCAGGGGCCCTTTCCACTGCTTAATGAGGGCCCCAGGCAGCTTCCTTCCTATCCTTCCTCTATTGCTTAGGGCCTCATCAGTCTCATCTGCATCTCTCTGGAAGGCTGAGCAAGAAGGAAAGAATATGAACTTGGTTCTGAAAAGCACCGGCGTAGCAGAGTGCACAGATAGCGTTTCCATTTGCGGTTCTCAGGCCAGATAGTCACGTTGCCACTTTACAGGAGAGTGTGGCTGGGAAGTGTAGCCAGTTCCTGGCTAGGTAGCCCCTTGCAGCAAGGCATAAATCGTATGGTCATCCCTGTCAGGAGTGCAAGAAAACTAAGAATCCTTTCCTAACTTGCATTCCAACACTGTCATCTATTTAACTTCATTTTGTCTGAATACAAAGCTCCCTGTGGGATATTGTCCTAATTTTATGAAAAAGAAGATAAAGCTCAGAGAGGTTAAGTGTCTTTTTTCCAAAGGACAGAGCTAAGGTGGAAGCCCAGAGCTCTTCCCAGTGTCCCACCTGGTACCCACAATATTGCTGAAGAGCACCCATGCCAAGGGAGGTGATGAAGTGGGGAGTAAAGTACTGAGTCATCCCCAGACACCCAGAACCCTTCAGATGCAGTAGAAAGCTTCAAGGCCCATAAGCGAGCAGGTATCCACATTTCTCTCCGGAGTCTTTGCTTATTGAATATACGGCCCTCCGACCAGACATTGTGCTTCCTCAAAGCTCACTGCCTTTGGTGTGTCTTGCCCAATTCCTTCTGTCCTTTGTGTGTAATAAAGTGTTTTCCTTGTCTCCTTCATGTCCCTTCATTGAAGCTGCTGCAAAAAGTGCATTTTATTTATATTTTTTTTTTAGAAAAGTACATTTTAAAAGGATTTTTTTTTTTTTTCTGGCTCAGAATCCCTTAAGGGCAGGTCTGGTAGTAAGGCATGAGGATCTGGGTATCCAATCACAGCATCCTGAGCCTGACTGCTTTATTTAAGCAGGCAGGTAAACAACTGAGCTAATGGGCAGGCCCCCAAAAAGTACATTTTAAACAAGACCTGGTTTATAACTTCGCCAGGTTTATATCATAATGACTTTGTATATAGTTAATTCTTTTTAAAATTCAATAACCTCTTTGCTCATTAAATCCTCTCTCAATGAGTAGCTTTGTAGTAAGTCACCAACATATTTTTTAGTTTGTTTCCATTTTTCTTTTCTGGTTTTTTTGTTTTTTGCTTTTTGTTTTTTTCAGAACTGGGAATTGAACTCAGGCCCTTGCACTTGCCAGGTAAGCGCTTATTCTACTGAGCCATCTCCCCGGCCCCATTTTTCTTTTCTTAAATGATCTGGATTACAGGCATGGCCACCACACCTGGTCTCAGAGGCCTGTTCAGCACAACCAGGGGCAGGACTGGACAGCCTGTCATGTGGGGATTGAACCCCGTTCCCTGCACTTGCCTAAACAGGTGCTTAGTCCACTGAACTATCTCACTAGCCCTGTTTCCATTTGCTGATTGATTTATATAATTTGTTTTTAACTTTGTGTTTTAGCACTTAGATACTATAACAGTAATAAATAATTACAAATAACTGAGTAAATAATACGTTAGGAATCAAGTAGTAAAAAGAAAACAGTTATCTTTTAACCCTGTAAGAATCACCAGAACCACGGGTTGTGGTTTTATATTTAGGGGTATAACCTGGATGTGTTATACCTGCTATTTTCAAGTTAGGCCATAGGCGAAGGTACACAAATGATTAAAGGAAAGTTTCTTTCTTCCTCAGCACACTCCAGAGCAGACCTCGAGAGCCGTCTGTTAGCTTTAGGAACTGCGGTCCATTGTTGAGTGAAGTAAAGTGTGAATTCTGCTACAGATTGCACAGGTCTTAGAGCTCCAGCTCATGCTAGTAGTCTGCCTTGTTGGCAAGTTGGAGCACATTTCTTCTGTCCCCTGAAGTGTCTTCTGTGGATGAGCTGCCCCCAGCCTGTCTTGGCTTCTCAGCCTTCGGGCTGTGGGGGGCACGGTGGTTTCTTTCCTTTCCAGCTCTCTGGTTGGCTGTGCTGGCAGCCTTCTTTCAGCCTTGCCATCACTGATTCCTTTTTCTGCTGTCCTCTAAATCATTGAACCCTAAATCTTTATTAAAAGCAGTCCTGAATTATAAATATAATGAAAATTAAACAATACTTAAGCATAGTGGTATTACATCTGTAGTCCCAGCGTTCTCAAGGCTGAGGCCGGAGGATCACCATGCGTTCAAGGGCAGCCTGGGATACAGAGTTTAAGACCAGCCTGGAATACGTGATAAGACCCTGTCTCTTAAAGAAAGCAAACATATGGTAAAATTTTGCCTTCTCTTCTGTTCAACTCTGAGGTAACAACTTTTGACTTTTTAGAAAGTTTTTGTAATTTTTCAATTATAAATAATAGTATATTCCTCTATCAGCTGTATTTTTTAAAGAAATGAGAAATTTAAGTTACTTTAACGACTCACTTTTTTTAGTTATGTTTTTCATTTCATTTCTGCTATTACTTATCTTTTAAAATTAAACAATCTACTTGAACCTCTATTTTTGATCTATTAGTCATGGATAGAATTTCTTGACTTCCTGCTATGGCAATGAAGAAATTATCATCCCATTTATCCTCTTTCTGCTTCCTGTTTTCTGTTTGTTGGCCAACCATACTGACATTACAAGGTTTTATGATGCTTGTTTTTTGTTCTGTAACTTAAATCGTCCATGTGTTAACTATAAAATGTCCTCAGAAGGAAAAATCACTAAGATTTCATTTTAATATTCTGATTATACAAACATTATGCACAACATGTCTAGTAATTGATTATATCTTCAATGAGGAAAAAAATATGTGTCACTAAGCATGTGCCCCTCTGGAAAGAGCCGTACTGGGATCAGATCAAGTTGATTAGATTTTCTGGTGAGTGCTCAGAATTATTCCACATGTAAATGCCTCTGTATTAATCAGCCTTTTGTTTTCCTGAAGTTCCTAACTGTCACCTTTCCTCTTCCCAAAGGTTCTAATGTACACTGTGTATTATTGGTTAATTTTGAGAAGATTGCTTCTTCCTACGCCCACCCTGCAGCTGTGATCCTACAATTTTCTTCCCAGTCTAGG